CGAACGGACCGGAAAGACAGCCGTCCCCCAAGGCCACAAGTGATTTCTCGCAAACGAATGTCGGTATTGCAAGGCCTGTCACGAATTTTCTCTCATCCATCCCTTTGCGAAAGGTCTTCTCCAAGAATAAGCCACGGTTTCGGCGCGTTGTCATTGTTCCTCGTCCGAAGTGGAAAGTTTCCACCTCTTCGTCCAAGCGTCGGAGTACCTTTCGCGAAGATCAGACGAGTGACCTGTAGGCACCCACCACTGTATACGTAAACAACCGAAATGCGGGTGAGGAACGGTCGTCCACAACCTCAGACTCTGCTCTGCCAACCCTGAACGGGACACCTTGAGACAGTTCCTCATCAGGCGGCCTAACAATCAGAAAAGCACCTTGGTTTATATGGCGCCGAGGGTCGAAGTCCACTTTTGGACGGCCCGCCCTCGGTCCTACATATATAAGCGAAGCATCTGGCGAAGGAGGGTCGGCTTCTTGAACTTCCTCCACAGTTTCGACTGATTGTGACCAAGAGGTGTGAGGGTAGATCTCCAGCTCGTCCGCCCCGAGGACATCCTCTTCCTCACCCTATTCCGTCTCCTTCTTCTTTTGCTTTTGGATTATGTCGTCCACCTCGACGAAGATGGCTTTCTAGTAAGACAAAGCATCCTCCCGCTTGTCGACCTCCTCCTTCCTATATTTCTGCCACATGTGTCTATGTTGTTCGAGGACGTCCACAAATATTTGGACACTGTCACGAGCCATCCGAAAATCACCTGTAACGACACAGGGAATAACACATGGATGTGGAGGGGAGGCAGGGCCTGCATACTGGCCATCGACAACCGGGAACCAGTGAACTGGTCTGCCTTCTGGCATCCATTCCGCATCGGTACAGTACTTCTTATACACCATGACGGGACTGCCGTCACGCATGAAGAATTTGAAGAGGTGCGGTTTCGATACGTCGACGATGGTTCTATCGACGTATCGATCCACTACCCGACGCTAATCGGCAATGTGATCGAGCTTAATGCACTTCGGTGGTATCTTGTGCGACGACTCGATAAGCGAGAACAACTGCTTCATGATGTAAGCATTGTTGTCCTTCAGTTTTTTCGAGAAAAAAACAAAAGTCGCGTCTATGTCGGTATGTGTGTGGCCAACGAGCATGAACCCCACTTCGACATCTTCAAAAATCCTGAATTTCACCAGAAAAAAGGCCAAACACATAAGGTATTGGTTTTTGTTTTCCCTCCAACAATTGTCCGCCTGGATGCGGAGATGGCGTGGCCATTTTTGTCCCGACGCCTGCAACTCACATAGAGTCACGTCATGGTATCATCGGAACCGTGCGCATAGAAAGACAAATACGTGTACACATAAATGGACAGTTTCCTGCCGTGAGATACAACCGCGGTCAGGTTCGTTTTCATCGTCATGTCGTGTCGATGATCCTTGGAGTAATTATACATGCCGATGTGAGGAATGGTTGTCTTTTTTTTATCCATTCCATCCACTATAAGGGAGAGGTATTCCGCGAAGCTCAAAATGGAACGAAGTTTCCTGTCAGCGTAATCCGCACGGTGAGCGAGTACGAAATTCAGTGCGGAGTTCGCAATTCACGTCTCGTCATTGTGTTAGCGGAGTTCGTGTCAGGCCTGTCTAAGGAACAAGACCGCCTTAATTTCTGACGTGAATTGCGGAGTTCGGTCTTGTGCGGACCATGAAATTAGTTTCATGGTCAAAAACTGCAGGCCAGACACGAACTCCGCACAGTTAGAAATTAAGTTCATGGTCGGAACAAGACCGAACACAAGTGTGGAGAGAGATGGAGAGAGGACACGCAACAATGGTTAGCGATGCCGCAGTGATGGAGAGAGAAGGCACAAAGATGACCAAGATTTGTTATTGCAGAACATCAGTTCCATCGAGTTAAATCTTCGTTAAGCATACCTGTCACCTGTTTCGTGCGATTCCTCAGTGATGGGCGACTGCACCGACGACGGCTTGAAACAACAATACAATGGCGATGGCGGGATCGCGCACGAGTAATGAAGAGCCTCTGGGGCAAGGATGGAGGTTGCCTGGTTGTTCGAGAGAGATCGCGCAGTGATGGAATGAGATGGAGAGTGATCACTCAGCGATGGAGGGACATCATGCGGCGATGGAGAGAGAAATCGCGTAGCGCTGCGGTGGGATAACACTGGCCATAGCTTCGATAGCGATGGCCAGCGCTGCGGTGGAGAGCAATGGCGCAGCGGTGGGGAGCGATGGCGCGGCGATGGAGTGAGTTACAGTGCAGCGATAGCGATAGCGATGGTAGTGATGGAACAGCGATAGCAATTGCGCAGCGATGGCGCACCGGTGGAGAGCGATGGCGCAGCGGTGGAGAGTGATGGCGCAGTGATGGAACAGCGATAGCTATGGTGCAGCGATAGCGAAGGCAGCGATAGCGATGGCGCAACGACTGAGAGATGGCGCAGCGATGGAACCAACGTTGTGATGACAGCTATAGTACCAGCGTTGCGATGGCGCAGCGATAGCGATGGCAGCTCAGCGATGGTAGCGATAGCGATGGCGCAATGACTAAGAGATGGCGCAGCGATGGAACCAACGTTGCGATGGCAGCTATGGTACCAGCGTTGCGATGGCGCAGCGATGGCCAGCGCTGAGATGAGAGCGATGGCGATTGTCAGCACTGCGATGGTCAGGCGAGCGTGACGGCTGCGATGGGGATATAGCTTTGCGTCACGATGGCGATGAGCTAAGCGCATCGTTGGCGATGGTGCATGGCGAGCGTTGGCGCATCGATATCGAACGTCGTTGACATTTGCAAAATGTCCGAATGACAGCGACACCGAAACTTATAAATTTCTGGTGTTTTTAATCTCGGCGCACAACGAATCACCGCGCCTCGGCGGGAAATGAATCGTCGCCTGGCCTCGGCATGCAACGAATCGCCACACCTTATAGATTCTTGCGCCTGACCTCGTACATCGGATCATGTCGATCGATGGTCCAGATTATAACTGCAAAAATGACATTGCCTGCCCCTTGTTTTCGGGAACTGTCACATCATTGCACGTCGGAGTAGACGGAGATCTAGAGGCCACTGGCATAATAGTGGCTCCGTTCATCTGCGCGGTTGAAAATTGTTGATCGACGGCTTTAAAATTTTCGGTACCCCTTACCGTTTATAGGCCCTGAGGTTTTATGGGCCCAGGGGTGCGATACGTGAATCGATTCGGCCCCACCTTGATGGCATTTTATGGGCCCAAGGGTGCGATATGCGAATCGATTCGGCCCTACATTAATCCCGACGCGAGGCCTGATGCAAAAAAGTATAAAAGGCGTTGCAGCCCTCGAGTTATCCCTTTTGTTGGCGCTCCACAGATCAAGTCGCGCTATCGCTTCCGTGTGCGTTTTGATATTTGGTCTTCAACCCCCACAAGCATCCGCCATAGCCCGCTCACTCTTCGCTCATCGCTTCGTCCGCAGTTGCCACATTGTGTTCGGTTCGCTCTTCGCTCCTCGGTCTTTGCTCTTCCTAGCTCGATATCCCTCCACCATAGCTGGTTCGGTGGTTGGTTGCTAGCTCAACGCACGACGAAGGTAAAATCATATAACTTGAGTTATCCTGTCCGAACACATTCCCAGATGCCGTGTCTGTACCTGCAGGATATAACGCCGCAGCCGCGTTCTGTTGAACCCCGAATCAATTCCCGATTTTGTTGTTTCGCCTGTGGACGTGCTCTGATCTCTTTTATCCACCCTCCACCTCAGTCCGCCATAGCCGATCCGCGTTCCGCAACTCGATTACCTTTCGCCATAGCCACGATAACGTTCGTATAAAGCTGCTCGATCCCCTTCGCAAGTTGCAGTCGTCGCTGCGCATGGCGAACCCCGAATCAATACCTAGTTGCTACACTGAACACCGAATCAATTCCCGATTTTTGCTCACCTGTCCCTTGTGAGGTCGCCGACCTGATATTTACATATATATATATATATATAAAGATATAGATACATATTGCTACACTGGACACCGAATCAATTCTCGATATTTGCTCACCTGTCCCTTGTGAGGTCGCCGACCTTATATATATATATATATATATATATATATATATATATATATATATATATATATATATAGATAGATAGATAGATAGATAGATACATGTATATAAAGAGATATATATTGCGAGTCAGTTCGCAGTTTGCGACGTACGGTGTTCGAGGAGTGACAACTGCGAAGTTATTCGCAGTTTTCCCAAGATTAGACACATATTTCATTAAAGGCAGTTCCTTATTTCCACAAATGCGAGTTAGTTCGCACTTTTTGAGCAACACTGCTGGAGAGTTGACAACCCAACCCGTGCGGTTTTCAGGTCTTCAGTTCCACAATTTCGAGTTAGTTCGTATTTTCTCCCAGTGCTGCGCATCGCCATTATTATTTTATCTTCAGAACTGCGAGTTAGTTCGCACTTGTCGAAACCCTTCGCAATTGTCGATAAACCAGGACTTCAGTTCCCCAATTCGGAGGCAGTTCGTACTTTGCCGTTGTACTTCGGGTTGCAATTGTCGTCCTGTCAGCAGAACTGCGAGTTAGTTCTCACATGTCGATTCCCACTTGTCGATTCGCACTTGTCGATAAACCACACATTACTCGTTTCGTGCGTCTTTCGGGTCTTCAGTTCCACAATCCTGAGTAAGTTCGCACTTTCCCCTAGTGCAGCGGGTTGCCATTATTGTCTTGCCTACAGAACTGCGAGTTAGTTCGCACTTGTCGACACCCTTCGCACTTGACGATGAACCACATCTTACTCGTTTCGAGGGCATCTAATTGGATCGCAATTTTTCCGAACAGATAACGATTTCCCTCCGAACTTTCGTCTTTCCTATCCTTCACCCGATTGTAGTGACTTCGTGTGCATTTCGAACACTTTCGTCCTCCATTTCGTTAAGTCTGAGTTAGTTCGCACTTCGCTTCTGTAGTGGTCTGGGGTTGGGCGTATTGGTCATCCGAGTTGGTCTGAGGTTGGGCGTGCTAGTCAACGGGTGGGAATACAATGGTGTCCGCAAATAACACATCCACAAGCGCTCGACCATCTGCCCCCGGGGAGGGACGACCTGTACAACAACCTACTCCTCCGTATATGCACGCAAAGGGAGCACAATGGTTTTTTGACTTCGTTATTCAGGGGGACCTTTTTGGGCCAGCTGTTTTCATGCGACCCACTTGCGTTACAAACGCTAGGGTAGCGGTCAACGTTGTTCCTCTCGGTACCGTCGTCTCGTGCGCGAAGACTCCGAGAGGTTTGCTCAAGCTGAACACTAACGGCTTGTACAAAGAGTGCAGACTGCCTATCAGAGGTGTTAAAGGTGTGCTGGTGACCACCAAGAGTTTTGCGGGGTACGACTCGAACATGCCGTTGTGCTCTCACTTCAAAGGCCTTTACGATGGCAGCAGCAAGCGTCTTCCATCGCCAGAGCAATATCTCGATCTCGCGCTGATGGTTCCCAGAGAACGTCTGGTTCTTCCACCAGAGCATGTTTTCCGGCTTTTGCCACCCCGTGACGGGTCGTTCGGCTTGGCTCAAGAAACTCCAGGTACGGCAGTGGGGCGCGGCAGTCCGATTCAAGACATTGGGGGTCGGGTCAAGGGACGCAGCGTTCATACGCAGGTCGGCCTGGATGCTCCTAGGAACACGTCGGACTTGCATTCTCTGGGTACAGGGACTCAACGGGTCGGTACTCCGAAACTTATCAAGGTCCACTACGGCGCCGACACGTATTCGCTTCGAGATGAGACGAGAAGAGATTCAAGTAGATCGGGGCTAGATGTTCAAGGGAATGAGGCAGATGGGCGCTGTCCGCGAAAGCTCTGGCGGGGAGCAGACTCCTTCAGAGAAGAAGAGCGAGCGACACAGGATGGTGCGAGAGGAGGTGGCGGAAGGAACCCTCCGCATGAAGAGGATGAGAGAAAAACCAGAGGCGGTGATGGGCGGGGATGGAGGTGGCGACGCAGAACGTGCCTCAGGAAAGAGGCCAACGAAGGAAGAGGGTGGGACGGCAAGTAAGAAAGCGAGGAGGCCCGACGGTTTGACCATCCGCGAAGGACAAGCCGCGGGCGGAGGAGATTCGGCTTGTCTAGGCGCTGCGGCCGCGAGAGAACCTTCGGGGAAATCGAAACGGAAAGTGGCAGTTGAAGAAGGCGATGGCGAGAAGAAAACTCGAAGGCGGAAGACTGCTGAGGCGGCGAGCGGTGGCGAAGGGCCTATCGGTAAGGAGTACGACGAAGCGGCAGCGTTCTGGCTCAAATACGAGTGGAACGATGTCGGTGAAATTGTGGAGAAGGAGACCCCGACCGCCCAACTTTCACATATTTTAGCTCGCCCCTGTTCTGTGTGTACCGCCCTATTTTACGGTTCAACCCCTCTGTTGTGCCCTCTTCCCCGCGACCACCATCCTTCTTGTCTCCACTGAATGCAGTCTGTTGGTTCCATATGACAACTGCGAACTTATTCTCAATTCGAAAACCAATTACCGCCAGAATGTATGTGTGCTTGAAGTTGTTTTATGGACTCCAGAAAATTCATCGGTGCACTAAATGATTACCAATTTTGTTATCGCCAGAATATATCTCGTACTTTACATTGAATGGTGGTTGTTGTTTCCGTATGAGAAATGCGAACATATTCGCACTTTGGATGCCATACATTTGTGATAAGACCGTTCATGTCTACAAATTTGCCAAAATTATTACTTTTTGTGTTCTCAACAACAATTTGTTCATAACTGCAAGTTTGACAAAATGATCATCAATTGTGCTATTGCCAGAATGTATGTGTGCTTGGCCCATGTGCTTCGACGTTGTTTGTCGCTGAAGGATCGATATAAGATGTTCACAAAAATGGATAATTAGTCGAAATTATTACCTTTTGTGTTGTCATTGGAAGACTGATCATTTACGCAAGTTCGCAAAAAATAATATTTTATTTACATGTCTTTTGTCTTATCGAAAAAATGGATAAATCGCGAAAAACATTGCCATTTGAGTCATGTCTTGCCAAATGTGAAATTGGTTCCTCCATCTTGGCAACGTGGGCATGCCACAAGTGTTTCCTTCAAATTGTTGATATTTTTCCTAGAACGATCACGAGCAAATCCACGAAGCCTGAAAATTCTCAAAATTTTTTGTGTTCTTCTAAGCTCGTTGCCGCTGTCAAATTGCGAGACTAGGCCCGACTTCCCAACAACTGCGGCGACTTCCCAACAACTGCGATTGAGCATCAAAGACTTCCCCAACAGCTGCTAACATGTGGGACCTGAAGTTCAATTTTGTTTGTGGAGTGCAAAACTCTGCTCGAAACAGATCTACGTTAAACAGGAAGGCCAACCACATACCCACCAAACTAGCCCCAGTGGTGTTCAAAGACTGCGCAAAAACTGTTAACCTGAGGGGAACAAATCCACACCCATAATCAACGTTCCCTAAGAGTGCTAATGGCAATCCGCGCAGACAACCAACGACTGTTTCACACTTCTTCAAGGTGCTCGGTCACGAAACAAATCACGATATAACTTCAACCTGGCATCAAGGTTCCATGAGAGTGCTTTTGGCAATCCTCAAAGAGAGTCAATGACTGTTTGACACTTCCTTAAGGTGCTCTGTCGAACACCGATAACTGCGAATTGATTCGCTGTTCAAATGGTATCTGCCAATGTCTTTCCGGGTTAAAGCAAGGAGCTCGGACTCTCTCTCTCTCTCTCTCTCTCTCTCTCTCTCTCTCTCTCTCTCTCTCTCTCTCTCTCTCTCTCT